AAGATTAGGTAAAACTCAACTGATGATATGATATTTTCATTAGGACTTAGTGAGGTACTGTAGCTAGGGAGAAGTTTAAGAAGCAAAAATAGAAAGGCAGTAAAAAAGAAGAGAGCATTTCAAGCAGAGAGGATATCATGTGTCAGAGAGGTATGAATGGACCCATGGCTGGGGTGTGAGGAGAGGAAAGAAGGTGTGAAGAAAGGCAAAGGAATGTCCCGACATCACGAAGCTGGGCTGAGAGTTCCAGTCAAACCATACATGGCAGCTAGAGGACATTTGGACTTTCTGCCAAAGCCCAAATGAAGTCACTGACGTTTGTTAAAGATGTCCAATAGAGGACAGATGTGAGATTTATTTTAAATATGGTCCCGGCATGTGGAGAGGACAGAAGCAGGCCTGGAGCAAGGTGACCTGTTGGGTGACCACTGGAATGTATCTGGCGTGAGCAATTATGGGGCTTAAAATTAGAACAGCAGCAGCCAGAAGGCAGAGGAGGGACAGATTCAGATACTGCGATACTTAGAACACAGACTATCACGTGGAAGATGGAGGAAAAGGTGTGTGATACCTGTTGTTAGCTTGGGCGGTGAGTGAGTGATGATGTCATTGCAGAAGATGATAAACAGACTTTGAGGAAAAGAGGCCTGAATGAGGAGACACTGCGGAACATTCAGGAAGCAAGGGGTTGGGGAGTCCGAAGGTCTGATTATACCACTGGCTCTCCTGGAGGCAGCTCTGCACTGGGCAAAACTCATCTACAGCTTGGAAGGAGAGAACTAGGATAATAAATCAGTGCATCATGACCCACAGGTTGTAGATGAAACCAGGGGAATGGAGGGGATAACAGCGGACAATAAAACCCTCGCTTTACTCCAACCCTAAAGGGGTTAGTGAAGTCAAGAAACATCTGAATGACTTTCCCAAGTCATTCAACATAACCATAACAAAGACTAAGAGGCAAGATGGAAAAGTGTTTGACATGTGCTAAACAGATCAGAAGACACATAAAATAACATGAATGAATCTCAAAAGGATTTTTTCTGTGTGAAAAATAGCAGACACAACATAATGCATGTTTCCATTTATATGAAATTCTAGGATACACAAGATAACCTACATGATAAAAATCAGATCAGTGTTTGCTTCTGGGGGTGGGGGGTGGTCATTGACCAGAAAGGAGCATGAGGAGATTTTCTGGGAGGACAGAGATCTTCAATACCTTGATAAAGGTCTAGGTTATATACATGTTTATCAACAAGCATTCCACTCTATGTAAGTCATAACTTCACAAACAAGTCAAGATATGAAGTCATATATATTCATATAAACAAAGACAAGAGAATATGCAAAAATAAAAGCTCTGTCAAGGGTACCATAACTATGGGCTATTTTCCTCTTACTTTGCAATTTTAATTTCCACACAATGTCCTTAAATACAAAGAAACCAACACTCAAACACTTCAAATGCCCATCAATACTTATCAATTACTTGGGAAAATGGAAAGCATATATATTTTTTCCATAGTAAGGAGAAAAGAATCTCTGAAATGAAGCAATTTACTATCTGAAGACAACAAGAAAACACAAGACACAATAAATACATGGTTGTAAAGTATTGAGGACTCCAGGGGCAGGGGGGTGCTTACGGCTTTTGTTCTGAGCTCAGTTGGGTGAACTTGGCAGAAGAGGACACTTGTCAGAGTGACCAGTGAGACAACAAGAAAGTCGGTCAATGGAACAGACAGTTGGAGGCAGTTAGATTCCAAAGGTCACTATCACAGACTCTACTTGGGTTTCAGTGCTCCTGAGTTTCAACTGTCCTTTATTACATTATTATTATTATTATTATTTTTTTTTTGTAGTTCTTGGTTTAGGAACCTTGCCTATAGTTTCATAGAGAAGAGAAAGAAACAGTATCCAGCGGGAGACTGAAAACAAGAGCCCCCCACTATTTTGGAGAGAAATGGTGGACACTTGGATGATAGTGATGGTAGCAGATCTTTCTCTTCTTGAAGTGCCTGTGGCGGACCAGGCGCTATGACAGCTGCTTCATACATCTCACTGTTTTATCCAAGCTCCATGACAATCCAGCCAAATACATATTAACTTCCTATCTCCCGTGAGGAAATTAGACTCAAAGAAGTGAGGCAACTCCTAGCTAGGACATGTGGACCCAATCCTATACTGCAGACTCCACATCGTAAGCCCTTCTACTGCGTCAGGAAAGGACCCACCATGTCTCACTGCCCTTGGAGTCGGAAAACGAAACACCCAACCCATCCTGAGGGATTTCTAATAGTATTTGGTCTAATTACAATTCCTTCCTGCAGTGTAGTCCATGCCCCCCCACAAACAGCCAATGTGGGTAATTACTACACAGCTATAAACTGCACACATGTGAACTCCTACTATTTAGTAGTAGGTAACACCTGGTGCTAGGCACTTCACAGTGAGTTATCTCATGTCATCCTCACGACCACCCCTGAGCAGACCATTATTAGTGCCACTGAATAGAGAATGAAACTGCGACTCAAGATCTGTCATGTGACTTGCTCCTACATCACCCAGCCACTAAAGATTTGGACCCTGACAGTGTGACCACACAGTTTAAGCATTCTGTACTATTGCCTCAATTTTTTTTTTAATTAAATCTTTTTTTTTTTTTAAGATTTATTTATTTATTTGACAGAGATCACAAGCAGGCAGAGAAGCAGGCAGAGAGGCAGACAGAGAGGGAGAGCGGGAAGCAGGCTCCCTGCTGAGCGGAGAGCCCGATGTGGGGCTCGATCCCAGGACCCTGGGATCATGACCTGAGCCGAAGGCAGAGGCTTTAACCCACTGAGCCACCCAGACGCCCCTATTGCCTCAAATTTTAAAACTGCATCTCCTACTTTGCTATGTGACCTATCTTCTTTCATCTCGGCTCACGCTACGAACAATTCCTCTGGCGGTTTTTAGGATGTTCTTCCTGGACTGTTCCATCAGAAGAACTATGTAAAGCCTTTTCTTCTCTCCCCTCACGGGAGTGAACCATTCCCCAAATGCTTTCCATAGTTCCTTGGGCAGTCCTCCCTCACGCAACAGGAGCAACGACACAGTCCCCGTCATCCCCTCCGCTGACTGACATTCGCGCTGTCGTCTCACTCATTCTCCTGACCAGAATCCTCTACTTCCAGGTTCAGCCAGCTCCCGCCTGTGTGATGAACGATACACACAGGCCAACCCCTGCATCCGGACACTTGGCCAGCGGCAGGGAAACACACCAGGGCGCACTCTCCTCATCACAAACGGAAGAAAAGGGGAGAATGGGTACTGACTGCCAGGCCATTTCCTGTCCGGCTCTGTGACCAACGGGAGTGCTGAGGACCTGGATCCCCATTCGGATCATTTCACCGTGCTCTCCGCTAACAGGTAAAAAGAGGATCCCCCATTCAAACAGCGTGAATGAGCGCAGTGTTCCACCGCTGGGGAGAGGCTGAAATGTGAACCAGCAGGTAGGCTCATCTCCACCTCCGCTGGGTCATAACGAACTCCGAAACACACACACAAAGGCCTCTTTCCTGACCTGCTCACTCCAGCTCCATTACACTATTTAAGGCACAGACAAAAGCAAATTAAGGTGGTCATCTGGGCGACCGGAAGGAGAGCAGTCTGGTTGACACGGCGGAAAGTCTCCAGCTGTGGTTTCCTTGAACTATTTCCCTAGAACTCGCAAGTCTTTGGGGTCCCAAAGTTCCATCTGTCTTAACGTCTTAACGTTACTTTTTTATAAAGAGTTCTTCATTTCCATAGCCTAAAATAAGGCCAGGAGAAAATGATCCCCCGGCCAGGTATAAGAACCTGGAGCGTGAGCCAAGAGTTTGGGGTTGTCTCTCCTTGGTGGGTGGAGTGGGGAGAGGAACGCAGAGACAAGTCATGGCCCCACATTAACTGCTCTTTGATCTTTGTCTTCGTGGGGGTTGCGGGCAAGGGAAGAAAACCTTCAAGTCCAGCAAATTATATTGACAATGTTGAAATTCTGGTCTTGTGCAAAGAAAAATGGGCAGTTTCTTCTAGAACTGGATGAACACTGGCTGTTGCTTTTGCATTATTTATATGCACAGCCACTCACACTTGAAGAGGAGGCTGTGAGCATACACAGAAAATTGCAAAGGGCAAGGAACTCAGCCTTTTAATGAACAACTCCAGACCTGGCTGAAGCGAAAGTCGGAAGCTGATTCTCCTGGGCTGAGATGCTTGTGGCTGACTGGGGGATCCCAAGGCAGCTGGCTCACTCCAACACAGCACATGAGGTAGGAAAGGCAGTACTGCCTCTGTTGCCCAAACCCTGAGGACCCTTCCAGGAGAGACAAGACCCAAAACTGAGCTCAGCTGGGGAACCACAGCCCTGGGTAGTGGGTGCTACAGACATCGGAGACCCATGGCTACCGGAGGAACCAGGTCCTTACCCACCATAAGCCCTGTTCAACTTGTAACAGGGCACAGAGGATGCCTTCTCTAGGCAGGCCACCGTGGATGCACACATCCTTCTTTTCCGTAGGCTCACTCCTCTCAAAGTGCCCCAAGCAAGTGTAATGTAGTTACATATTATCAGAAAAGGCATTTTTCTCATCACTCTTTAACACAGAAAGAGGTTCAGAAAAAAAGTATGACAGGATTATTTAACAGGAACACATACAATTCCAGAAATCACTCTGCCCTGTCTTTAGGAAGAGCAATGTTTTGGTCATCAGAAACTCTGCTAGGCTTAGTCAGATCAGTGCCAGGAATTCTGTGAACTGGAGGTCAAGCTGCCAAGATTCAAAAGAAATGTTGATAGTAAGTGTTTGCACAGATAGCAGAGTGGGACAGCTAGCCACTGCCAGCATGCAACTCCAGCCGCGACGCAGACAGGAAAACCAAATTTTCCAGCTGTCCCCTTGTGCTGTGAAACTTAGTAAAAACAAAACAAAACAAAAAAACCAACAAAGAAATTAAAAAAAAAAACAAGCTCTTACCTAGCTCTCCTCGAAGGTTAACAAGTTCTTGAGATAGGGTTTTGTGTTGTTTGAGTGCTTCCTCCCGCTGCGGAAAACACACATCAAGTTACTAATGTTTTCAAGAGGGTCCTTTTCAGAAAGGCACACATTCGTTATCACCAGGAAAATGAGACTCAGAATGGAGAAGCCAAGATATGAATCATTTAGACTAACAGTTTGAGTTGTTAAAAAAACAAAACAAAACACAGATGTCCCTTAGTTGTTAAGGAAATTCATGTTTCAAAAATCTTTATTTTCTCAGGTCCTCGTGAAACTTTCATTTGAGGCACTGCATGGCACTTTTAAAAATATTTACTTTGAGCCAGGCTTCACTGTTGATCCGCAGAACCTCTCAGCAAATGCATACTTAAGACTTAATGCATTCTCCTCCTCCAAGGGCAATAAAGCAGTAATCAGTTTAAGATAAATATTTAATGTTCTAAATGTATGCATTTATATGCACTTTGTCCTGTATTTGCAAAAAAAAAAATAAAAAAAAGTTTTGTTGCAAGGTCAATCCTTCTAAAAGGGACATACAAGTTTGTTATAAAGCTACAGCCAAAAACAATCCTTCAAAAAAAGACAAAATTAGATTAATTTTACTCAGCGCCGCATTAGTTTTCTAAGGATTATTAAATTTGGGATCAGCTATGATTGTAAGGTGACATTAGAGAAACAAATCAGAGAATCAGGCAACTGTTTCAGTATCAAAAAAGCTATTATTTATACTGCAAAGAAGAACAATTTCCAAGTTCCCAGCAACTCAAAGAGATCACACACACACACACACACACACACACACACACACAGCAATAGTTTCTTAAAAGGTAGATTCCCCACCACCAGGGATTAACTAAGGAAAAGGCAGAATTCAAAGCCCTCACTAGGATCACCCCGGACGGAGCTCCCGCGGCATCCTGCTTACACTACTGCAGAGATCATGAGACCCAGTCTTCTGCAGGCAAGAGCTGCTTGCCATTCAAAATGTCCCCCCCCAATTCCAGACCACCTCGGCCTCGGTCCCTGATATTATTCCAGAAACGCACTAGAAGCAAATACTAATTACCCTTGTTGCTGCACATGGAGGATAGAGGCACATTTTGCTGCTGGAGCAGCCCATTTTCCAGCTTCTGTCTCCAACTGTCCCCACCCCCCGCACTGTCCAAGAAGTGCACAGGTGGCCACACCACCCACCGGTCAGGTCTGCCTACATTCAAAGCTCTATCGGGAGGAGCGCCATTGGTCCTCGGTTAGCCTTACTTCGCGTCCTGCAGGTTACCGTATGCCTCTCTCCTGGCAGAAGCTGATTCTGCAGCTTCTGCCTTTGGCACAAGCAGCCTGCGATTACTTAAAGCCACAGCCCTTCATTTATGAAAAACGAGAGCCAGACATTAGACTGATCGATGGCCACTTACTTAAATATCAGCTGGTACAGTGGAAAGAAAAACGGACCTTCTCTGCCTGGATAATGGAGTTATTTTTAGATTTGTGAGCCTTTTTAGACCCCCTCTTTAATTGAGGTCATTAGATTATCACACTTACCAAGAGAAAAGAAAAACTTGTTCTCTGAAACCTGTATACCGAAGAAGCCTATGAACTAGGTGAAGGAAAGTCCAAGTGTGCGTTTTGTGATCTACAATTTAAAAGGACATTATCATGAAACAGATGGTGCTTGCCGCGAAACTTCATCTCAATGCTTAGAACATGGTCCACTGGTGTTAAAAGGGCAAGTGTGAAATGCTGATTTGGGACTTGGAGAGCAGACATCATCCAAAGCTTTTTTTACTTTGTGGTGGTCTCTCACTAAAAGAGCTGAGAACTTGAACAATGTGCTAATGCGGTCATATGGACAGTTAACAGTGACTGCGATTTCAGGACATGTCTTCATTGAGTAGGTTTTGCCGTTAATGTATTCTAAATGCTTGATTTTTTTTTTTTTAAGATTTTATTTATTTATTTGACAGACAGAAATCACAAGTAGGCAGAGAAGCAGGCAGAGAGAGGAAGGCAGGCTCCCCGCCAAGCAGAGAGCCCAATGCGGGGCTTGATCCCAGGACTCTGGGATCATGACCTGAGCCGAAGGCAGAGGCTTAAACCCACTGAGCCACCCAGGCGCCCCTAAATGCTTGATTTTTAAGTGCAGTATTAAGTTGTTCTGAAATCACAAATCAGTGAATCCAGGTTTTTAAAAAATGAACAAGTCATGAGTTTTCTGATATAGAAATTAAGCCTTGAGGAAAATCAACCTGGATAAAATTGGGAGGAAAGCACATAAAAATACATAAATTACATGCTTCTCCTGATGCCATGAATTTAAGCCTTAATTTTGTTTGCTTAGCAATTTAGTTCAAGTAAGTAATAGCAAGCTTTGTCACTCCACGTCAAGAAAACCTAAAGCTTAATAGCCACAAGCAATCCTGAAAAACATTCAGGACTTACTTAAAGTTCACTTTCTAAGAGTAGTTAAATTGCTAGTAGAAGGCAAAACTGGCAAGAAATTAAATTACTTTTCAAACTTTCCTAAATGTGCTAAGTGAGGACTGAAAAACTAAGCTGACGTATAGTAATGTTGTAGAAATGCTTACATCCGAGCAGAGATACATACCACATGATCCCTTGGCTTCTTAAAGAGATTTTGGGGACAGGGAATTTCAGTCCATGTGAACCCTTCCCCCAACCCTCCCACACTCTACCTTCCTTACTCAATGCCCAGAAGCCACCGATGTCTTCCGAGCTCTGTCAATCCGAGTACACAGTGACAGGAAGGCTGTGAGGTCACCAGCCAGTCTCTTGTCTAAATGAGTTGTTCCAAAGTTAGTCAGTTCTAATGAGTCTTGAATCTACCACACTTTCTCTATTAGTGTCCCCTCCACCTCCACCGCAGTCCTGATCTCCACCGATTCATTCCTGCACTAGTGAGAGCAACCCTCCACACAACCTCGAAGAGGGCTGCTAGGTTCATGTCCCTCACTTGAAGAGTATTCCACGGGATATGTGAAAAAGAAACTTTGCCCTAGTTCTAAGAACCTATTCCAGTCCTGTTTAGACTCTAATTCCCTCCCTGTTCTGTTCAAGTCACACTTGCCATGTGTCCTACCTTCACAATCTGGAATGCGTGGTCTTTTACCTGACCCATTATATAAACCTCAGTGTCAATCACAGTTACCATCTCCTTCCCCTCAAAGCCTAGAGAAGACATTTATCTTTCCAAATTGGTTGGCAAGTTATTGCTATGAACCAATTAATCAAGGACCATTCCAGATGCTGGGTGAAACATGAAAGAAATTTAAGACATGATTCTTGCCCTCAAGAAGCTAGGAACTGGGGTGCCTTGGTGGCTCAGTTGGTTATTGTCTGCCTTTGGCTGAGGTTATGATTCCCAGGTCCTGGGACTGAGCCCCGCATCGGGCCCCCTGCTCAGTGGAGAGTCTGCCTCTCCCTCTTCTCTGCCTCTCTCCCCCGCTCATTCTCTCTCAATTAAATAAATTTTTAAAAAGAAAAGAAACTTGGGACCTAGGTAGGTCGAAAATGTCCACGCTCAATTGTTCAGTCATCACTCAAGGCAAATGACCTCATCTGGGGGGAAGCAGTACAGGATAATGGAAAAACCAAGGGCTTTTAAAAAATCCTATGTGAAATGCCAACTGCAGTGTCCACACCATAGTCCATGTCAGTTTCTGCCTGACTCTCTTTGGAAACTTGCCCTTTAAGATACCTATCCTTTACTTATAGATGATAAAAACACATTTTGTCACTCTGATACTGATTACCCATTTCTTTTTATTCAGCTGCTCCCAAATCTGTGTTTCTGTCCTAGATGAGAAACTCTTTATAGTCTAGGTAACAAGTTTATTTAATCTTCTTTGTATTTTAACATGCAGAATTCCACACAATATGAAAAAAGAGGGAGGCAGGTATCTGGATAGAAATATGCTTTTCTACGCATGTGCTAAATGTATGAAGTGTTCCAAGGAAAAATTGGATTCACTATAATTTAATTAGGAGTCCCAGGATACAGGCACTTAAGCTCTGGCTGCCATCCCATCAGGGGGCCTGAATCTGTTAGCTGTTGAAAAGCATCCACAGCACAGTGGGTTTTGCAGAAAACCTGAGTCGGATGGCTCAGATGTGTGCTGTCTCTGACCTCCTCCCCACCACTCACATGATGAATCATGTCCACTCTATTTTGTTCTGAGACATTTTTACTTATAGTAGACTGCTAGTGTCTTCCAAATTCACCTTCTTTGGGTACTACTTTAGGTTGGATTTCACACTGGCTGTTTGTACAGAACATTGCACAACTATGCAAGGATAAACCGAGGTTGGGAACAAACTAAAACCAGCAACAGTGTGTCCTCCCGAAAACAGAAAGTGTGGTGTTAGTTTCCAGATTGATGAGGCACTTATAGAACTTATAGATAATGATCTATCATTATTAGATTTGCAACAAAAGGATAAGTCATAGTTCTAGGATTCCTTATAATCAATCCTTCTTATTCACACTCTAATGCTCTAAAACCATTTAGAAAAACTTAGCAATAAGATATGTATGTATATATACATCAGTCGACATCTACCATCCATATCTACCTACGTGTACATCAATCAGTCAATCACTTCTATAATGGTATGAGAGGACCAAAGGGTTAAGAGGAAAATTGTTCTGAAGAATTACTTAACTTTTCCCCTGGTTATGTCTTTCTTTTCTGTTTTGTAACAGTGTCCTGTAAACATTAGGCAATCAGTAAATATTTGCTGATTGGTTTTAAAGAGCAAAGAACATTCACATAACGACTTTATATGTTCGTCTTTACACCTGGGAATCCATCCTCCCCATTCATTTGTTCGTTCAGGTACAAATGACATGTCTGTTAAGTATAAAGCCCTGCCACAGCTGCTGAGGTGGGTTCCTAAGAAGGAACTAGACACAGATCCTATTCTCAGTGAGCTTCTGGTCTTAAAAAGCAGAACGAGTGCAGATGGTTATCTGTAATATAAGGGAGAGAGTGACAGAAATCTAAGTGCTCCTAGAATCCAGAAGGTAGACTGAACATAGAGCTAGAAGGACCATGAAATAAAAGAGGGAAGTTGTTTTGTCTTGAAGATTTGTTTATTTTAGGGAGAGAGAATGTGTGTGTGTGTGTGTGTGTGTGTGTGTGTGTGTGTGTGCAAGCAAGGGGAAGGACAGAGGGAGAGAATCCTCAAGCAGACTGCCCTGCTAAGCACTGAGCCAGATGCAGGGCTGAGTCCATGATCCCGAGATCATGACCTGAGCCAAAACCAAGAGCCAAATGGTCAACAGACTGAGCCACCCAGGTGCCCCTAAAAGAGGGAGCTTTTGAGCTGAATTTTAAGAAAATTCAGTGGAGTCACAATTACATGGGCATTAAAACCTTTAAAGTCAGGTGCAAGATGAAATTCCCGTACAGTGAAAGTATCCCAGAAACTCAGTAAGAGTTTGTCCTGTTGTTAACTGACAAAACCTCTGTCACCGTGTCCAATCGAGGGAGGTTTTTCCTCTAGTGTTCCATCTACTCCTTCTCCCACTGAGCATCTCATAAAGTATTTGGTTTGTGTTTGCGGGTGAAGCTGTGTGGGAAAAGAGTATCTTGAAACCCCAGGAGCATGCAGACTGCGGAAGGTTCGTGCCACACAAAGGATTTAGGAACCAAAGGAAGAACAGATATGGGTCTTTCATCCCACATCCACTTCTGGGCCTTTCCTCACCATGGAAAGCAGGCCTGCCTGATCTATTTAACTTGCATTTTCTACTTGGCTGTTTGTATAATGAATCCATGAATCCATGTGAATCCCATGTAGGTAGTGATGGGATGCTACTCTAAGAGCTGAACATGTAGGTACATTAGGGAGAAGGGCAGTAGCCCAGTAATGGTATTTGAACAAAGGATGAAAAAGCATAGGAAGTTCATAGGTGATTTTGAGTTCCTAGTGTCTTAGGCCCAGGTGCAAGTCCTGGTCTTCCTCTGTCTGCTGATAGTCAAGTTACTTAACAGCTCTATGCCTCCATTTTCTTCCTAGTAAATTCCATCTGGTGTCTTTGGATAACATTTAATGTCTAGAACTTCCTAAATATTCAACAAACATTATATCCCTCTTACTTCCCCTCCACCTCACTAAAGGTGAGGCTAAAAAGGCAGCTTGTGCCAAATTATAGTCTTAGATTTCAAGTTACACCCCAGAGTCATCCAGAGGAAGTATAATGTGAGTCATGTATGTAATTTTAGTTTCCTAGTAGCCACATTTCTTAAAAGTTTGTAAGATTAAATTTTAATGTGTTTTATTTAATCCAGTATATCCAACACAATATCATTTCAAAATTATTCACAAAGTATCTTACACCCTTTTGTCATACTGTCTTTGAAATCTATGCGTATATTTTAACGCTTGTCTGCATATCTTAATTTAGCCTTACTGTACTTTAAGTACTTGGTAGCTTCATAAAGCTAGTAGCTGCCATGTTGGACAGGTAGGCTGTAGACAATGGAGAACCACTGAAGGTTTTAATCAGTACAGTGGAATGCTTTGGAAAGATGAATCTGTTAGCAGTGCTTGGAGTAGATTATAGCGAAGAGAGTGCAGGCCTAAAGACTAATTAAGAAGTTATCATAATCTATTGGACAGTTATCCAGAGTCCAAACAATGCTGGAATCAGTATGAATGGAAAAGGGGGAGCAACTCTGTGGGATGAGGGCTCACAGCACTTGACTCATCTCACATGGGAGGGAAAGGAGAGAAAGGAGTTGAATGAGGGGTTCTATATAGGCTAGATATAGTAAAACAAAGTAATTGGTTTATCACAAAATAGACAAACTAATTGTTTCTGACATTTGATATTTGATATGTCGTTTCCAATTTAGCTTACTTGGTTAAATAAGCCAGCTTTCCAATTCCTTCCTTACATATTAAAGAGAAACAGAAGGGCTATATACTACTGTATATAAAAACTAGGTAAATGGGGCACCTGGGTGCTCAGTGGGTTAAAGCCTCTGCCTTCGGCTCAGGTCATGATCTCAGGGTCCTGGGATGGAGCCCCGCATCGGGCTCTCTGCTCAGCAGGGAGCCTGCTTCCCCCCACCACCCCGCCTGCCTCTCTGCCTACTTGTGACCTCTCTCTGTCAAATAAATAAATAAAATGTTTAAAAAAAATGTTTCTGGACAAAGTTGCAAAATGTTCAAGTATTGATCTTAACTGTCTATTAGCGTGGTAACTTGCAAAGGCACAGACCAAGAGCCTGGCTTGACCAAGTGCTTCGCTCCCCTACCCCAGGCTGGCAACTATATCACCATAGCTCTATAGGCAATGAACATAGGTTTGCTGGGTTGAGCTGAACTCCAGAATAAGCAAATGGAACGGTTTTTTTCTTGAGATGTTATGTGATACCCATCCTTTTAGACTGTGATTAAAAAATATTTTAAATATTTTAAAAGCCTGGGTAGCCCAGTGGGTTAAGCAACTGACTCCTGATTTCAGGTTAGGTCACGATCTTACGGTCACGAGACAGAGCAAGCCTTGGGTCGGGCTCCTTGCTCATCAGGGATCTGCTTGAGATTCTTTCCCTCTTTCCCCAGCTAAAGCACGTGCACACTCTCTCTCTCAAATAAATAAATCTTAAAAAAAAAATATCTAAAGAACTCAAATATAATCCCAGTGCTCCCCCCTTAGGCACCTGCAGTTTTTATTGCTAGGCCAGTAGCATCCGTTCCCAGAAACTTGGTCTTCTCAATGAACTCTAACTAGTCCCTGAGCTAACATCCTCTAAGAATGTCAGGGAAGAATAAGGAAGCAAAGAAAATCTGTTTTGCATCTGTCATACCACAAACTATTTTAGGAATGGACGGAAATTCTCAAGAGTCCCCAGACCCATACCGTGAGTTACCTCAGAAGTGTTCTTTAACCCACAAATATAATCAATCTCTTTTTTCAAAGCATTAAACTAAAGGTGATATGGAAAGCTGTGTACAGTTAGACAAAAAAATACAGTGCAAAAATGATAATGCTCATATAGGCTGGAGATGGATATAACGATTATCTCATGCCATTGTTGGTCTAAGTGATTCTGGAAACAAAAAGAAAGTAGTAGAAATGTTTCAATCCCAAATTTTTAAAGAGTGACTCTGGTTATCAAGCAAGTTGACAAATTGGGTGAATTCTACCTGCTCGTACCATTCATCAACCGGAAAGTATTCCCAAGACAAGAGCATGAACACTGCCCCCCTACTGCCCCCCTCACCTCAATGAGAAAGACTGTTAGAGGGCAGACATCCTTACCTCAGAGAGTAGATGCTGAATCACAACTGTTAATGCTTCAAACTTGGTATTACCACAGGAAAGAAGCTGCTTGAGCTGTAGGATAAATCCACTTTGGTTTTCACATTTTGTTTTATATTGAGCCAACTCAAGCGTTTTTTCAGAGGAGAGCACATCTGGAGATGTCTGTGTCTGGATACACAAACTTCTGGGATTCTTTTGCCTGCCCTTTTCAACTGTAAAAGGAATAAGTATACACAGGAAAATATGTGATTTTTTATAATCACTACCATCTGGGTTCAAAAACAACTAGATAAGCCACAGAAATGCATTTAACCTATGTTTATATAAGGAAAGCATATGGATCAGAGCAGGAATTAATCAAATATCTAGATGTTTGGAATTTATAAACACGGACAATATCTTTAGCTCTGAGTTTGAAGAGATTTACACGGGGCAGAGAATTGCGTATGTGAAACAAATAGATGTAGCGATCCAGAAACATGGGAATTATATGCAAAATAATATTCACATCATAGTTTCTAATTTTCTAGGTAAATTGGTACAGTAACGTGACTATGACAAGTCTTCTGGCTCTATATTCCGATCACATACGCTGAGAGAAATATGTAAGTGATTGGACTTTCAGTGCCCTTCCCTCCTCCTACGCATTTTCTACAAACTTCTCATCCTTTCCTGCTGATGGCCTGGTCATTACAAAGATTTAGACTGCTGATGAGTCATTTCCTAATCTCTAGTAAATCATTACATATACTGAAAATCTACTCACATTTTGCCCCTTAAGTTCACTGTTAAAAGGACTATACTCTTGACTACCCTTTTCTGTTTTCTATGAAACACAAGCTTTATTGTTTTTCCCCTCTCCAAGTACTAATAATGGCCTATGTATTTTGTTTAAGCTCATGCTAATGCTCCAAATCCAACTAAGATGCTTTGCTAAGTGATTATTCACTTTCTATGCCACGGTGTCCTGGGAATTACTCTATTTTAAATGAAAAACTGTTCAGTGTTGGAACTACTCCAAATGTCTCAGTCACTTTAAATATCAAACGGAATTGGAAGACCACAAAACACGCTGCTAAGCTTCTCAAAATAATTAGGCCAAGTAATCAAAACAAAACTAAATCTGAAAAAAAGATACAAGAAACTAAGAAAAAAAAAATGTTCCCTTGTTTCAGAGGCATTCCCTACGACATTCACATTCTGTGATAACAAGCCAACCTAAGAAAATTTTATAGATAGGAATTATTTTCTCTAATTTTTCAGGGGGAGGAAAACCAGAGTAATTTCTTGAAGGAGAATAAATAAACCTCAGTATTCGTGCTCCAAGAACCAATGACAAAAAACACTCAATATATTTTTTTAGAAAAAAGGCAGGGGTGGAGGCTCTCATTTTCTATGGTATTTCCTATGGTTCAACAATTCAAATTTGCATTAATACTTGATAATTCACTGTTCTAAAACGACTAAACTATCTTCTATGTTTCAAAAAGACTTCAAGGGGAAAGTATTTGTCCATTAGTCTTTCTTAGTAATCATTAAAAACTGTTTAGCACTAACCACCATTTCCAAAGCAGATGAAGAAAGCAACCAAGTTCATAGTCATAGTAATTAAAGTCCTGAAAGGAGAACTTTATTATAGACTCACATATTAGTGAACTAATTAATGAAAAATATTTTACAGTTTATCAAAGTATCTGAAATTAGTATTCCTTTATTTCATGTCATTTCCTAAAAGGTCCTTAGGAGCTCTATTTCTCATGTAACATATAATAATTACATAGTGTTTTACTGCTCACGGAGTATCCTCCCTTTTCCTCTCTTTCACCCACTTAGTAACTCTCCATAGGGAAAGCGAGGCTCCAGAGTGGGAAGGACTTTGCCCATGCACAGATGGCACCTATGGGACAGATTCAAATTCAGAACCGAGGCCTCCAACACCCATTCTCTACCACTACGACCCACCTTGGAAAGTGGAGATGGGGTGGAGATGTAACAGAAAACTAACAACAATCATTTATGCAGTAATTGTAGTAAAATGTTACTTTATGCTTATCAGGCCTGTGTAACAGAACAGCCAAAAACAGCTTTCAACCCTTTGACCATCTAGAATTTCCTGTAACATACTGCAGATATAAATTCATTCTCCTGACATAATTGCTGTATGTCCTACCAATACTTCCTGAAATATTCATTTATTTACTGCTAGACTGCTTTGAGTTTATCATTCCTTGAATCCCTTAACGATGTTTGACTCTCTAGAATTTCTACGCTAATTAAATATCAGAGTTTTAAAACTGTTAGATTACAATTATTTAAAAAGTCTGAGATGTAAATATTTTATTCTAACATTTTTGAAGAAAGCATTCTTTAAAATTCTTGCCTACTGAGACTTCCAAATGAATTTCACTGGTCAAGTTCTAGTACATTACCTCATATGGAGATAAATTTAATTTATTAAACATTGTTTTTCCACCTTCAGGTTCAAAATACAGGTACTCCTTTTGTAGCACCAGATTCTATATTTTCTTTCAAATTATTTCTTATTCCAAAGTTAAGCGATAGCTACATATTATGTTTGGTTTCTTTATAAACTAAATTTCTTTCACCATATTACATTTTTACAATTTACTATATTTAAAGTATTTCCTCGTAATATTGTTTGGATTAATTACTTGATATTGCTTATCTTTTTTCCTTATTAGATAGTTAATTCTGTCACTAACATTATTTTAAAGGAAACAGCTTTATTTTTCTCTTGGTGTGAGATTAGCTATGTTTCTCAGTGTACATAGATTTTACAATAAAACATCTACATCATGTGAAGAATCTGTCCATACTATTTTTGAAGTGTTTAGGAAATATAGGTTGGATTTGCTGATTCTATATTAGGCCTCTGAACCATCATGGTTTTCAGTAGCTTCTATTTCATTTAATCCATTTTGTAAAAGGCTCTTCCTAAGCCACAGTGGCTTCAAATTCCTAAGACATACTCTTTTCTTTAATTATAAAACTTTTTTTATCATCTGAAATGTAATCCCTCCCCATTTTTTTGAGGTATAACTGACAATATTATATTAGTTTCAGATGTGTAACATAATGATTCACTTTTTTATATACTGGGGAATGATCACCCTAATAGTCTAGTTAACATGTTAGCACACGTGGTTACCTATTTTTTTTTTCTTATGAGAATTTTAAAGTTCTCCTCTCTTAACAAGTTTCAAATACACAATACAGTATTATCAACTCTAGTCCTATGCTGTACGTTACATCCCCATGACCTGCTTATTTTATAATGGGAAGTTTGTCCCTTCTGACCCTGTTCACCCATTTGACAACCCCATCTCACCCCCGAAAACAAACTTCATTTTTCTCAGATATGTCAGTCCGACAGTGTAAGCTGTTCCCCAGTTTGCTGCTGAGGATTTGGATGACTTAACGTCCACAAGCGAGATTGGCGACTGTATCTTTCCTTTATTATATTTTGATTGCTTTAGCTTTTCGTAACAAAGTGTCATCTGTGCCTATGAAGGTCCTATTCTCCATATTTTGGAACTGTTAACTGTGTCAGGACTCGTATACTCTCTGGAAGTTTAGAAAGCTCTCTAGGACCCAACACTGTATTAGGAATGCTGCGAAGATCACTCTAGAATGAATGTTAAGTAGTTTTTGTTAAGGTACACCCCGGAAAACAACCGCTGGAGTCTGCCCGCACCCCAGTTGTGCAAGGTGCTTGGTGCTTAGCTGCTTTTTGTCTGTGCGCTGCCTGGTTACTGTCTCACCTGCAGCTGCCGGGCTAAGGTGCTAATTCTTGCCAGGGAATCGGGGGAGGGACGGCACCTGTGCTCCACTAAAAGCCAGTGCCCACATGACAGCTGCCTCTTCTCTCAGGCTTTCGTCACCGCTGGAGGACCGGCGTTTCAAGAGTCGGGGAACCCCTCGAATGGGCGTGAGCTCTTACTGATCCAGCCACGAAGACCTCAAATGCCACCTCTAGAATGCAACACTGCTCCGCCTCAGGTAGTGGCTGGAATTGTCAAACCTGTACATCACGAGGGTTTTCCAAGCAACCCACCAAGAATCTCAAGCAAACATTTAAAAAACAATTCAGGTCAAGTCTGTCTGCCTAACTTTATACACTCAAACTGACGTTTAATAACAATAAAAGCTTAGTGATAAGCCTTCTCTGACACATGCTAGCATCACCTGTTGAATTCATAGCTGGTCAGCAAGAATCTATCCTACTGAGAAGCACAGGCTTGCAATGACGTTAACTGAAGGACTCCCGCCGCAAACTTGACAAGATCAAAACACAACCCAAATGTCCAGATAGAAGACTGGTTAAACACATTTATGGTACAGTCATATAGTGAAATATCACAGCTGTAACAGAAGTAGGGCACGCTCTGTGGTAAATGAGAAAACCATAGTAAAGAGGACTGTAGACAGAATGCTCTGCTGTGTGATGATGAAAATATAAGAGCACATTTTCTATTTTGCTTATAAATTCATAACAAAATTATTTCATAATACACACACAAGTACTAACAATGCTTACCTTTTCAAAAAGAGAATAGGAACCAGAGAGGTATAAGATGTTCTGATATATTCTCCTTACTTTTTAATCATGGTGTAAAAATACCACCTTTTCAAAATTAAAGAGTATATATTTTTTAAAGGTGGTTAAATTGGGGGTGCCTGAGTGGCTCAGTCAGTTAAGCATTGCCTTCAGCTCAGGTCATGGTCCCAGGGTGCTGAGGTCTGGTTCCCTGCTTCTCCCTCTGCCTGCTGCTCCCCCCTGCTTGTGCTCGAGCTCGCTTATGTGTGCATGAGCTCTCCGACAAATAAATAAATAAAACCTTTAAAAAAAAATAAAGGTGGTTAAACAATTCTGGGCACCTAAATCATTAACACTTAGTCATAAAAATATAATTAATCCATGTTTCTTCCTTGGGGAATAGAGACGAAGATCTAAATAATACAGGTTTTTTCTATGTGACAACTCAAAATACATTCGGATTTAAGGAGGAAACAAAACACTGACGTATTCTAAGAGCACAGGTCTTCAAAATTTAACGTAAGAGCAAATCAGCAAACAGACTGCCCTCTACCTAGAGCTGGGAAATCAAGCTGTGGCCTCAATCTTCTGCTCCATATACTGTGCTCCCTAAGGACAAAATTGTGCCACATGGTAGCTGATGACCTAGTTTTA